CCATTGCGGCAGGCGTTACAACGACTGGGGATCCGTTTGAGGAAGAGGACATGGCCATCAATACTCGTGTCCCTGACACCGAGTCCGAGCTGGAGGGTGAGTCCGACCAACCCAAGGCCAGGAGGACATCTCGTGGTCGGGTCCCCGCGCCCGAAAAAGGGCAGGGGGGCGTTCAGGTCCCGCCTAGCGGGCAACCCAGCTCTAAGAGCATGCCTGCCCGTCCATCCCCGGTCCCCGCGAGAAGCGGTGTGGAAGGTGGGGAGAGAAGGGGCAGGACCAAGGGTTTCTACACCCAGAAGGATCCTTTTACCGGCGAGGACGCGACTCCCCGAGTTCGTCTTCGATCGGGCGGTCCCGGAACTCCTGCGTCCCCACCACGGGATGCCACCGGTTCCTTGGGCGGCCATGGCGGCTATGACCCGCGCGATGACGACAACGACGAGTGGGAGCTTCCCCCGGGTGTGCCTCGGACCACTCGTGCGGCAAATGAGTCGCGGCCCCGCCGAGATGACGATCGGTCGAGGACCGCGCTTGGGGCCCGCGAGGATCGTCGCGGTCCTAAGGGTGAGGGGAAGGGTCGAGGAAAACATCGACCTGGCAAAGGTGGACGCGAGGATCCTGGCCCGCCCCGACAAAGGGATGATCGTGGCAGGGATACCCGCGGAGGCCGACGCGATGATCGCCGACCTCCTCCACGTCATGAGGAGACCTCCGAGAGGCGCGGTCCGGGGCGAGATGAGCGCCGCGGACGTGATGACCCGGGTGATGACCGTCGCGATCGCCACCGGGACCGGCGCAGGGATGACCGACGTCACCAATCAGATCCCCCTCCGCCTCGCCGACCTCCGGCTGGTGACCACAATAGGGGTGGTGGTGAGGATCGCCGTCGGGATGGAGGAGGTGATCGAGGTGACCGTGGTGGACGCCGGAGAGACGACGTGCCCAGGGACCGGGAAGAACCTGGTTCAGGGTGGTAGGCGGGTACCGCAATCAGCATCCGCCTTAGAAGGGCGAGGATAGTACGTGTGTCGCCGAAAAACGCGACCGCGCCGGTCCTCCTCTCGCCCATGCGGCGCTGCTGGGGGTGATGGTCTCCATTGCCCTGTACCGCTGATCCGGCGTTGCTCGTGTCCCTCCCGCACCGCTGCCGTGCGCGCCGGAGACGGTTCCCCTGGCGATCCTGTGTGAGGCTGTGACCGCACTAGAAGTGCCGGGCCGGCCGTAGCCGGATATTTTCACACCAATTTCGGAACTTCCGTTTCTAATTTCCTCCCAACTCGACTACTCTTCCAACCACTCCACGGCGTGCAGTGAGGCGCGGTGATCCAGATAGGGTCCCCCTCCGCATGGTGTCGTCCTATGACAACGCATGAACGGCACGAGAGGAATCTTCGTCTGGTTCCTCCAATATGTCTTTGTTCACTCATGTGGTCCACTCGTCAAATAATCCTGTCGCCCCGATAATTCGGGGTGGTGGCGGGATTTTAACTGGGGCCCAGGTGATGCCGTTTGGCTCACCTCTGAGTTGACACCGGCATTTTTGGTTGGTCCCTTTCGTCGTGAACTCAACTGTCTCGCATCCTTTCTCTCGTCCAGATATCGGATGAGGGGGGTGTGTTTTGTTCACGTGTTGTTTCATCATGTGGCAAAACGGCCGAATGGCCGTTTGGCTCAAGTTTTTGGGAACTCCCGTCAAGTTCCCCTCGGACTCGCGTGCGAACGCCATATCCTGGCATCGCTCTTCGTCACCGCAAAAGGCTTTGTGGTGCCGCGGCGCTTTGGGGGTAGGAGGTGTTCGGTGGGCCGTCGAGGTGTTCTTGGGCCTGTCCCTCAAACTACTGTTTTGCAATCCCATTTCTAACCTCCCCAAACCTGATCTTCTTCAACTGTCACTCCCACAACCTGGTCATCAGCACCTTCTCCATTGTGCGTTGAGACTGGGTTCTTTTGGTACTTCGTGGATTACGTGTACCTCTTTGATTCCCTGGGCTACTTCGTGTTCGCCCAAAACCGCACCTTTTAAAGGGAGCCCCTGTCAGGCTCCATGTTAATTGGCGACAGGAAAAACTCACAGTTTGTTGCGTTCCTGTACTTTGACACACCCACCTGGTGCCTGGTTTCATGAGACCAATAGGGATTCTTGTTGAAACATACGTCAAAGTTTCATTGTAAGGTTCACTCAAAGTCGCCAAGATTTAAATTATGTGTTTTGGCTGGGCAACAGCTATGTAGTTATAGTACCGGCCATACAAAGCCTTGGTGACCGTCAACCTTTCGGTAGGGTTTTGGGTGCTCAAAGCGGAGGAGACGTGCCAACAAGAACAAACACAGCCTTTCTCCGCTGGGCTGTTTATCCAAATGGCTGTGGGTCAAAACCAATGGTACCATTTTGGGGTAGGTGAATTCACCACCCATTTGAGTCTGTTTTAGTGGTTGGATTGGGATGCTCACTGGGGGTACGCGCTGCGAGGCTCCAATTCGATTGATTTAGGGCCTTCAAACATCCTGGTTTTGAGACCAACCTCCGGGGAATGGAGGGGTCGGGTCCATTGAAAGTTCCCAGGAGCCTCTGGGTAGTGATAAATTCCTTTTAAAACCAACCAGGGAAAAGATTTGAATACATATGATTAAGCAAATAGAAGCAACCCGTTCCAAATCGAAATCAGATACTTCCCAAGGTTGAACTTATTGCATGTCTCCGTTGGCCTGCCGACCTTTGACGTGTTGGTGTATGGCCGATCCGAACACATATATATATATATTCTATTTGTAATGCCCCAGTGAGCATGGCCTTGAACTGCTGGGGTGGCTGCCTTTGTGTTCGCATTGCCTCAAAAGACTTGGAGCAGTGAGACCCAATCATCGCTCATGTTGAGAGTTGTTGTTTGTGTTTTGTGGCACACGCTTAAACATGCTTCTTTAGATCCATGGGAAGCGGCTAGCTTGCGAAAGGTTTCAATTTTGAACCCTTGGCAAAGCTGCTTCCTTGGTTGGGAGGCGAATGATCCAGCTGTCAAAGACCAGTGATCTAATAATTTGCTTGCAGTTTGGCATGCGTCACAACTGAGCCACAAATTAAAACCCGGGATATGTTTTGATTATGACTCCACCGAGCCAAGGATCTTTTCCATCCAGGGTTAGCGTGACGTGGCAGAAAAGACATATCCAAAACCTAGAGGGTCCCCTTTTTTGGCAGTCCATAGAAAAATTCGGGTGGATTCCACTTTGAGAAAATAGATATCTATAATAAGTGGTTTGCCTTTACTGTTCCTTTCAAGTAGTCTCAATATGTGCCATCCTCTTGCTTAGGGTTAGGGGCTCAGTAGTCTAGACAACCTTTGTAAGGCTTCCTGTTTGGGTACGACTCACAAATGAAGAGCTAGGGCTTTAGGCAGCTTTTGGTCATTGTTTCAATTTACCACGGTGCCATGTTCCACGTGCTGAGCCACACCCATTCACAGAACCAAGCCACCAGATTTGACAGCCAGGAGGGGCGGAGATCCCTTCGCGTCTCAGAGGATCGTATCGCCGAGCTGGAAGAGGCGAGTGTGACCGAAAACGGTGCGACCTGTCGCTACTACCGATACTGAGGTCTCCTCCAAAGTACTTCCATTTGCTTAAGAATATGTTTTATTAAAACCCTGTCGGTTTCCAAGGGAATCTATCACTACTGGATTTTTGTTCAAGGGGGCTTAAGCAAATGGCAGAGTATGTTATGTTCTACGGTAGACAAACAACATGGACCAAAACTTGACCGTATTATTTGCTGCACCCCAGATTGGGCTAAGAATAAACCAACAAAGAAGGGCTCGACAAATCAATGAAGCAATGGTCAACAAACCAATGGTCCAATGGTCAATACACGAGTAATGCAACTAAACGTTTAATAAACAAAGTAGGCATACATACTGGCGTGTGTGTTTTTGTTCGACCCATGATCTTTGGGCCCATAAGGCCAAAGGTGAAATTAAGGTCAGTCACGCAGGTGTGTAGTGAGGAAGGTAGGTTCCGGAACCTCCTTGCTTGGCGCAAAAGACAAACTAGCGTACCCTCATTTATTGACGCGGGCGAAATGGGGTGTCCAAAGTGTCCAAATTCAGGGTTGAAATGTGTGTGTGTGTGCTTTTGCTTTTTGAGCGTACCCCCTTTCACGTTGTCTTAAAGAGAAACACTGATATACATACACTTTGGGGTTTGAAATTTGTCAGGGCCTTGAAAGGGCTTGTGCCACTCACTGGGCATGAGGCGCGATCGGCAGCAAAAGGGCCGCTGGCTGTCGGAGCGGCGGAGTTTACTACCCGATTTAGAGAAACTTGGTAGAGCCGATGTAACCTTAATATGCATTTGTTGGTAGAATAGAACGTCAACACATGTTGGAGCTGCTCATTTCGAAGTGTGCAGCTGCCAATAAAGAGAGATGTGTCTGCTTTGTTGGTTTGTGGCTGGCTGGGCTGGCTGGCTGGCTGGCTGGCTGGCTGGCTGGCTGGCTGGCTGGCTGGCTGGCTGGCTGGCTGGCTGGCTGGCTGGCTGGCTGGCTGGCTGGCTGGCTGGCTGGCTGGCTGGCTGGCTGGCTGGCTGGCTGGTGTGCGAATATTTCCCCGTTCCGAAAAACATAAAACCAGTGTTGATTGCGACTCCAACCAGGCCAACCATAAACAAGTGCGGATATCTGCACGTTGTGGCTCCAGAAAAAGAAGAAGAAGAAGAGTTGATGTGACTCAAGACTCATGCCAACCAACAAGTACGGATATTGTCCCCTTTGGGTTGCGAAAAGAAAAAGAGACGAACATCGTGTTGTTGTTTGTGACGAAGTAGATTGGTTGGTTTAGAAAGGAGATGAAAACAACCAAAACCAACCAAAAAGGAGATGAAACCAACCAAAACCAAACAAAAAGGAGATGAAACCAACCAAAACCAAACAAAAAGGGGAGGAAACCAACCAAACCAACCAATCAAAGGGTTTGGTTCTACGACGACACATCCCCTTCCCGGATGCTCCAGGCCCTTCGGCGAGCATCTCGCCGCGTGGCCGCGCTGCGCCGCGAGCTCGGCGTAACCTGCACACCAAGCAATCCAGCTAAACCAAGCAGGCGATCTTTGCCAAAACCAAAGATCCTGAGCTGTTCGGCTAAATGAACTGAGCCAACAAAAGCAACTCAAGAGAGAGGAGCAAGCAAGAAAGCAAGCAGCCAAGCAGACATTGGACATCATTGGACTGGTTGGGCTCGATGTATTTGTGCGTTTCTGTGAAAGGACTAGTTGCTTGGTTTGGGCTGGCGGACCTGATGCCCCAAACATGTCAATGTTGTATCGAGTGCGCTGATCGGAAGTGGGGCCACAAGCTCTGGCTTGAGCTGGGGCCAAAGAGCACCTGGTCAACTTTGGGGGAACAAACCAGGGGCAAGGAGCGACATGACACAGGTCTCCTTTTTGGTTGGTTTGGTGGAAGAAATAGAGGGCCCTGGTTCTTTTAGTGGCACTAAATCATGTACCAGGGCCATCTATTCTCCAGAAAAGGACTCCTATGGACATGAGCTTCGGTTGCGAGAGCTTGGGCCCATGAAGGTCCCCTGCTTGAATAAGGATTCCCTTCCACGAGCAAGCTTGCCGGGCTCGCAGAGCTCTGGAGATAGGGATGCCCAAATATTTTAGGTGGGTGAATGGTAGCAGCGAGTGCACATCCCTCATAATAATAATAATAATAGTAATAATAATAATAATAATAATAATAATATATATATATGTATATTAATATATATGTTGAGAAGCATAGCAAATCGATGGTCTAAGGCATATACCTTGTTTTCCAGCCAGTTCTTAACATGTCACCCTGAAGAAAAGTCAGTTCTCAGCTTGTCAAGAAGAAAAGTAAACCCTGGGTGTTGACTTCCTGTGAGTGCCTTAAAATACGAAAATCCTTATGTAGCCCTTAGGGTGTAAACCCCATTAAAAGAATGGTTTACCCAATTTGGATGATAACAATCCTTAGTAAATCATGGGGGTTATATGGCCATGGGTCATAACCCATGCCGATCCCATTTTGAGGCGGATGAACACCCATGTACCACCTATTTTGATGTTTACCAGGGGTACCATTGGTTTTGACCCACAGCCATATGAACCCCATTGTTTTATTGGTGGTAACTGAACCGCAGGGTATTTGATGTTCACCAAGGGTACCATTGGTTTTGACCCACGGCCATATGAACCCCATTTTTTTATTGGTGGTAACTGAACCGCAGGGTAGTATAGGACTTGGAGCGTGAACCGTTACGAGGTTGGCAGCAGCTCCTCGAAACCTGGCTCCGGAGCCGCAGAGACCAGGTGCTACAGGACCGCGAAGTCGTTTTTGGTACCGCGAGACCCCAGATCCTCCGGAGTGTGTGCGTGTGCCTGAGCGTGTGTGTTGGTGTTTTGTGGTTTTGTTTGTTAAATGGGTCTTTCGGTTAGTTCAAAGGGAAACTCTACAGGAAACAGGAAACACAGTTTTGAGGGTCCCCCTGTATTTTGAGACACACTTGGTGAGTGCTTGTGCATTTGTATGTGCTTTGTATGTGGGGTTTCTGCGTGTATATTGTATATCATGTTTGGTAAATGTGGCATTCATGTCCTCCGGTGTTCATTTCTGTGCGTAGCCGCCCGTGTGTGCATGATAAATAATATATATATATACATTATATTATCTGGAGCGAGTTTTCCCTGTCTTTTGGTTTTTTGTTTACGATTCTTCTGTGAGAGCATTTGTCCGAAGGAGTCTTCAATTCCAGGTCAGGAGCTGGTTAGGTCAGGGCAAGGGATGGGGAGTTACCAACGGAACCCCCCTTGTTCTTGACCATATCCATCATTTTGATTGGAGGGGTACATATTTCCCAGGGTTCGTTGGTTCATTGACTCTCCGTGTGCCCTTGGGTTCAACCCCCATTAAAAGAATGGCAAGGACCCAATTTGGATGATGCCAATCCTCAAATAAATCCATGGGGGTTATACCATTGTTTCAATGGTGGAAACTGAACCCGAGGGTTTGGTTTCGGTTTTTTCCTGTTGTTTGGCTGGGTGTTGTTTTTCTTTGCACAGGAGGCGCGGGCAAGCCGCGCGTGTGGCGCTTGGGTAACCGCATCCATCTCTGTTGCATCCGGTGACTGCGCGACTGCACGGCGTCCTTTTCATCGCTTTGTTTAGAAATAGATGCATCGGTTCCACCGGTTTAGATGGGTTTTTACATTTTTGTTAATCAGGGCCAGCAGAAAAACCGAAAAAGGTCACCTATCTGGTCAAGTCTGCATTCTGAAAGTCTTGAAAGCTGAGAGTAGGCGGACGCGGCATCCATACACCAGGCGCTGGGAAAACGGCGAAAATCTCGTCGACGCTGAGGCGTGGCAATGGTCAAGAGCAAGCGCAGGCGCCGAGTGGGGAGAGTCATCGCTTCCATTTAGCTTAAGGATAGGCTTGATTTTCCCCTGTTGGTTTTAAAGGGAATCTATCACTACTGGATTTTTTGGTTTTTACTTTTTTTTTTTGCAGGGGGCTTAAGCAAATGGAAGTCATCAGGAACCTCTCAGGAGTGAACCAGCGCAACCCCGTGCTTGGCTTGAAGTCACCAATGGCTAGTTCGGAATGTGTCGAAGCTAGTTGCACCTCGGTTTTAGAAGGGTTCAGGGAGACCAAACGGAAACCTGCTCTGGGTCTCCAGTTTTGACACAGACCCAAGATCATTGACATGTTGGTACTCCAATCACTTGTGGGCGGAAATGCCCGGATTGGTTTGTTCAAGCAAGTATGCGAGTTAAGAAGGAGAACACATGTGAGGAAATGAAGGACAAATTTGATCAAAACCAAAGGTACTGACAACATTAGTTGATGTAGGATGGCAAATGAACATGACATGAAAGTGCTCTGGGTCTCCAGTTTTGACACAGACCCAAGATCATTGACATGTTGGTACTCCAATCACTTGTGGGCGGAAATGCCCGGATTGGTTTGTTCAAGCAAGTATGCGAGTTAAGAAGGAGAACACATGTGAGGAAATGAAGGACAAATTTGATCAAAACCAAAGGTACTGACAACATTAGTTGATGTAGGATGGCAAATGAACATGACATGAAAGTGCAGTTGGAAGACGTCATGGGTGTTGCTGTTGCTCTTGGTGTTCCACGTGTCACGCAGCAAGGCGTTCTAATTTGTCAGCTGAGCCCTGAGCAGACTCCAGGAATTCCCCTTGGTAGACCATACAGACCATGTCACTACCCATCATCCCATGTACCAAGAATACGTGATATAGATTAGGTTTGTTTCCGCAGGAGTCCAGAGCAAACCATCGAGAGCTCTGTACGTTGTACCCTTTCCGCCTTCAACGACAAAGGAAGCCCAGCGCTCGGGTCCAAATCCCTGTGTTCGCAGATACTTTCAAAGGGTCCAAGTTTTGTTTTTTCAAGTGTAGGAACTGTTTCCACCCCTGTACAGCCCTCAACCAGACCATCCTTGCGGGAAGCTTGGGCCCTTTGGGCCATGAGTCACTGGACGTCAGGAGCTGAGACGCTTGGATGAGGAGTGCGAAGAGCTGCGGGAGCAGAACCGCCAGGCGACTGGCGTTGCGCCGGGAAGTTTTTCCCTCCCAACATGGAACCTGAGGGGATTTTTTGGGAAGACCATTTGTTCCTCTTAAATGGGCCTTCTGTCAGGTTCCGGTGTAAGTGGAGTGGGTGCAAGTGGTTGGCAACCTTTGAAAGTTCTCAAAGCGGCCTCTAATAGCTAGCTGGTGACTCAGAATTCTGCTTTTCTGGGTGTCTTTGGCGTGAGCTCCCCTGACACCTGGCACCTGTGGCACATTCTTCGCATTTGTTTTCAAGACGCACGCAGGATGTCGCTAGCACCGGGTCCAAAAAGGGCCAATAGAAGTCCACCAATGCAAGTTGCGGCAACTTGTTGCATCCAAGGCGGTCATCAAGTTCGGGGAATGTTCGCAACTTGCTTGCTTGGCCTGCGAACTGTCTAGTTGAGCGTCAGATAAAACGGGAAGAATCTCAAGGTCGCTGTTTTGGTTGATGGCTAATCCAAATCCAGAACTTCGAACTGTTGGCACTCCGTGCAGGCAAACGCGCAAAGGGCTGAACAGGGCCCAATAGCTTCTTGCTGCAATCAATGGCGCAGATGTGTGGGTCTGTTCTTGCTATCACTTCATTCTCGCTCGTGATGTGATTAAATGTAGTTTCATGAACTCGGGCTTGGCAACCATAGTTTGTCTTCTGATATTAGGTCATAGCTTTGGACAAAAAGCAGGATAGCATGGGATCGCGGCCAAATGACTGCCGTAGTACATTGGATTTGTCTCAAGATAGGTGAGCCCCAACCTTTGGGGGGTCCCGGGGTCCCGGGGCCCCTTGAATTGTCCTTCAACCGAACCCCAAAGCGGACCCAACCCCAATGGGGGGGCCCTTCAAGTGTCCTTTAACCGAACCCCAAAATGGGTATCCTAGAAAGACCATTCCGTATCCCGCCAGGTTCTGTTGACGCTTCAGCTCCAGCAGCAGGATCTGCAAGCGGCTTTGGCGTCTTGCCTGGAGGGATTGCCTACTCCAACTACCCGCGTCTTTGAAGTTATGATGTCAGGCCTTTGCAGATGAGACATTGGGGGGGGGTCATTGGTGGAAATCGGGTTTTGCCATGTTTGGTGGTGGTTTTGACGGGAAACCAACAGGAAGCGATTGGTTGCCGCTGTGAAGATATCACCCTCAGTTTGACTGATGCCTTCAACGTAGGTCAACTTGATGTGGCCGAAGTCAGATCCATGTTACACATCCACCAAGCTCGGCATGTGAGTGCTTCCAACATTGTTGGTAGACTTCCCTTGGTTTGAGTCGCACATGGGGGGCCAACGGGCGCCAGTAGCAACAGAGTGCCCTACGGAGATAAGCTGTTGCTCAATTCCAAAGGCCGGCTTGCCATAAAACGAACCTCCTAGACCAACTCTGCGCTTTCCAGGGCCCCCCTTGTTGCTGTCACATAGCCGCCAAATTCCCGCCCCTACGCGAGGTCACTGGACAAACCATTTGATCTGCGTTGGGTGGTCCTTGTCAATTTCGGCAACTTGTCTACTGGTTTCCTTTGGCCTACTGAGGGAAGTCAGTCTGAAGATAATTTCCTTTCAGACTCCGTGTCTCTACCAGTTCCCAAGGCTGAGGCGAGGCGCCTCTCGGATCGCGAAGCCGCCTATGAAAAGGACTTGCCCGCGCCTCAATGTGGGGAAGCCAACTTGGGTGTTCAAACCAGCTGGTTGGGACCCAGTTAGCCAGCTGGTTTGTTAGTCAGCTAGTTTGTTAGTAGAGTCAGTTGGTCAACCAATCATTCAATCAGTCAGTCAGTCAGTCAGTGAGTCAGGCGGTCAGTTTTCGAGGATTTGACGCAAACCCCAAAAAATGGATTCTCCCGACACCGTTTCACTCATGCGTGCGCATCTCCGAGGATGCGCATCTCCGAGCGGAGCGCGGAGCTGGGCGGGCACTCCAACCCGAAGCGCGGCGCTGAGGTGTCGATTTTGCGCTCACCGCCAAGGATTCCCTGCCCTGGACTGGGTCTGGGTGTGACATTCTACCCCATGGTTGGTTGGGTTCAAAGGAAACCAAGAAGGAAACCACAGCTTTGGGCGAGTCTGTTAAACAGAAAAAGAAACACACCCACTGGTACCATGATGTTGTCTGGTTTTCGGAGTGAGAAACTGGGGTCTGGTGCCTGCTTGATGGTGCAAGGATTTGTGGTGCCGTCTCGGCAGTTTCCTCAGATGCATGCATTTGGCGGATGGCCAGTGGATGGCATATTGCTCCAAGAGTCATGTTGAGCCTGTGCAAGATGCACGTGGCATTGATATGGGCTTTTCAATGGCGATGCTCCTTTTGGTTTCCCTTTCACAGTAGCCTCATACAAAGGACACACCCATATGGCAGTGGGTCAAAACCAATGGTACCATTTTGGGGTAGGTGCACCACCCATTTCAGAACCAATTTTAGTGGTTGGATTGAAGCGGATGTTCACTGGAGCTACGATTTGGCTTTTGACCCATGGCCATGTCTTGTCTGACTGTACGCGCATTAAGATGGAGCCTGGCAGGTTTGATCTGGGTCTTCCGGAACAGGTTCCCCTCGTGAGAGACCGATTTTAGCGCGTGCTGGATGCTTGGATGCTTGGTTTCAGGCAGAAGATCAAGCATCTCATGGCAATCAAAGAGGAGAACCAGTCGCTCCGGCAGGACGAAACTCGATGTTGTGCACTCGTTTGTTTGTGGTTTCCGCGCTCGAGCTGAACAAAGCATAGATACACAAATGTGGTTCAACTGGCTCTTTTCAACTACTTTCCAGCCTTTCTTCACCTGTTTGTTCAGTGTGTCAGTTGGTCGGTTCCTGACTTTGATGGTAAACTTCCCTGAAAATCTAGCCTGTATCGGAACCAGACAATTTACACAACTCATTGCTGAAAAGCAACACTCCTCTTGCTGGGAGGATGCTTGTTTGGGCCACCACGTCAAATGAGCAGCAATGTTAGGCGCAATGATGAGCAAAGTTCAGCCTAGCACCAGCCAGATGTAAGTGTGATAGTTGGGGACCTCCATGTGGTTGGTGTTCTTTTGGCTTCCCTTCGCAGAAACGGCCATTCTTTGCCCTCGACTACAGCAAGGCTGGTAGAATCTGGTAGAACAGATTGAAATCCAAGGTGTGCGGCCTAAAGAGAGCAACTGCTAAAGGTTGCTCCGACAATCATGACTAAGTGAATCTTGACGTGTTTCGGGTTATTCCACAGCTCCTATTCCAATTATTTGGGTTTTTGCGACAGGGTCGATTATGGACCAAGTTAAGACCATCACATCTGACGGAGCTAGCCTTGTCGCCCTCCATGTGAGACCTCCAAACAAGCGAAAGCTGCGACCACCCTGCCGGAGCCGTGGCAGACCCAAGGAATTCAATCGCAGCCCCAAAAAAGAGCCTCAAGCAAAGGTGTCCTTTTTGGTTGCTTTGGTGAAAAAATAGATGACCCTGGTTTACCTGGTGGTTGAATCATCTACCAGGGCCATCTATTTGCCCTAAAAGGACACCTATGGCCCCAAGAGGAACTAACCCCCAAAGGCACTGCTTGGGTGTTCAAATCACCTGGTAAGTGGGTGAAAGCCAAGGTGTCCCGAGTCGTCCAGAGCCATATGGTCATAACCTCTGGGGCCAACATTTTGACGGGTTCTGGTTATCAAAGTCAGAACATGGAATCGGTGGTTTCCCTTTTTCACCCCCCACTCCGGTGACTTTGATGGGAAAATAATGAAGCTAGAACCTACCTAAGTTCTTTGAACATCCCAGGTGAAGAATCCGCAGAGCCGGCGAACGCACTTCGAGTCTCCTGGCGAGGAGCTGAAGCGCAGTCGCCAGACCACGGCCCAGCTGAACGGGCAGCTGCGTGAAAGCCTCGGACCCGCGAGTTGCTTCGCCCAATGCTCCATTCGCTTAAGTCCCCTGGGAGGAAAACAAAAAGAAAAAAAACAAAAGTCCTTCCAGTAGTGAAATCGCTTCCCTTTAAAACCCCCAGGGGAAACTAACAGATATTCTTAGGTTCTCCAGTAGAGAGGCTAGAATAAGTTGGTACCCGATTTGTTGGGTACCCGGTGCGTTGGTACCCGGTGCTATGTTAGTGGAGGGGAGGGTATTTGAAAAATGGTGGGTTGCTTGTTGCTTTGGGAGTTGGTGCCTGGTTTGGCTTGGCTTCCAAGGGAAACCATGAGAGAACCAGCCCAACATGGGTAGTCAAATTTCGAGACCACCGAGGTGCTGCTCAGTTCTTCGATGCGATGCCGGATCCTCGAGAGCGCGATATGCGATTCTCATGTGGCGCGCCGAATTGTTGGGCCTTTCCCAGCGAGTCGTCCTGTTCAACAGGGTTTTTTGGTTCTTAGGGTGTTTGGTTCGTCGGGTTTTTAGGTTCTTAGGGTGTCCGGTTCGTCGTTTTTTCCCGGTTTTTAGGGCGTCCGGTTCCTTGGATTTGGCTTGTAGGGCATCCGGTTCCTTCGGTTGCTAGGTTTTTGGGGCGTACGGCTCGTCGGGTTTTAGGTTTTCAGGGCGTCTGCTTCCTTGGGCTTTCAGGCTTGCAGGGCGTCCGCTTGCTTCGTTATTTTTTGGTTTTCAGGACGTCTCGGTCCTTGTTCTTTCAGATTCTCAGGGCGGTTGGTTCCGTTGGAGTTTAGACTTTGAAGTGCTTTGGTGCTTGGGTTTCCTTCCAACCCACAAGTTAAACTTTTAGCAGGGGATCAGTTTGGACAGCCCAGGTGTTTTGTTTTCCATCACAGGTTTGAGTTCTTCTGTTCGAAGCTTACCCAGAAAGCCCAAGTACTCCTTGAGGATGGGTTCGTGTTTTGAAGGGGTCAAACTCACTTGTTGGACGGTACGCAACAGTGTGCCTACTTGAAGGTGCCCCTTTGTGCGACATGTCCTTGGCCTTCCATTCAACAAACCTGCATGATTCTGCCGTTCAACACCCCTGCTGCTTGCGTATCTACGACGAACCGACTAAATGCAGAATCTGGGCTCCAAAGCAAAGAGACCTGACATAAATGCTAGGGTCAAAAGGTTGCGGGTATTTGGGTGTTCAAACAGAAAACGAATCGGAGGCTCCCGTTTCGAAAAAGACCCAACAGAAACCCGAAATGGAGAACTTAGACAACACCACCTCCCTTTTTGTACATCACTTTGGGTTAAAGCAAGCACATCGGAAGGACACACCAAAGGTTAAAGGCTTGAGCAGGGAACTCTGACGCAGCCAGACCGCCAGGGAAACAAATACAGCTCATCAAGTCCTGCCAGGTGCTTAGGGAACAGAACCATTGCCCATGGCTCAAGCGCAATCCCGCGCAGCGAACACCTCCTTTTCCCCCCCGCCCCCGCCCCCGGGTGGCGAAGCGAAGCGAAGCGCACCGTGGGACCGTGGCGCTATGGCCTCCAAGCCGCACGTGGTCTTTATGAACTTCCCGGCCACGGGGCACATGAACCCCACCCTGGCGCTGGTGCGTGAGCTCCGGGACAAGGCGATGGTTGGTTGGCCTGGGGAAACAAACGCGGGCACGCCGGATGGGCGTTTTTTTTCTTTTTTTCTTGTTTTTTCTCGGAGTTGGACTTGGCCAAAGCCGGCCTTTTGACCTTGTAGCTTCTGTTGGTCCATTTTTAGTCATGGCCCCCAAAGGTTAAATGGTTCACCTTGTATTTCTGGGTGCTAAGGGGCAACCTGAGGGGAGAATCGGCGGATATGGCGGTGCTTCAGGAGTTTACCATTGCCCTCAAGAACCAGGGCTTCCTTTACCAACTCCACAGCTGGCTCCAAATCAATCAGGGCTTCTTTGAGAGGGACCCTGAACCTAGGCATTCCCTTGATCAACCCAGCAACCTCGTGTTTCCGGGGCAACCACAAAACCTGTTGGTTTCCCATTCAACCTTAAGACGGGTAGCCTCGTAAGACACACACGTACCGGCACCCTCCAAAATTTGGTCCATTTGTACCTGCAGGGCTCTTGGGACATGGAAAAGCCGCCCAGAAAGGTTTATGCCGCCTCCCTTGTTGCCAGTACCAGCACCCACGACAGGCGAGTGGGACGGGGAGGGTTGGGAGGGTTGGACAGGAGGTGCTGGTGACCTTCTTCGTGGCGGAGAAGATGCGGGAGGTGGTTGAGGCCAACGGCGCGCAGTGGCGCTACCTGCAGGAGCCGATCCGAGCCATGGATCGATCCCGTCGGTTTCGTTAAAGCTCCTCCAAAAGGATTTGCGCGGGCGGCTCGTCGTGATTTTGTTTGTGTTTTGTAGGGCAACGTTTCTTGGTTGGTTATGGGAAACCAAAAGGACACCCTGTATATGGGTTTTGCACCTCGAAAGTCAGAAAGATATTTGTTATTCTTGGGTCATCTTTCCTCTACTGCTATTGGGTTGGATCTTTAGACTTTAACTTTTTGGATTCCCGGCATATTTCCTTTTCACCGGCAAAAACAATAACTTCTTGCTGGGGGATCCCAGCAACACCCAAGTTTCGTGGAGCCCGAGCACGGGTCAGGATCCCAGGCACCTCACGGAGGATCAGCAAGCCCAGTACGTGCCGCCGGATGCCACGCCCGCGGAGACCAAGTTCCCCTGCTGCGTGATGCCCACAGCCGCCGCCACCCTCCCGGCCGTGATCGAGGCCGGGGAAGCGCCCCGATGGCCCAAAGCCCTCGGAGGGAAATGCAAGGCTTGGTTTCACTTGCCCACCTTGAAAGATGAAAGGAACAACTTGCTCGAAGTGGGTGTGGCTCAGAATCAAAAGAGCTAGGGTTACGCAGGTTTTAGTCCTTGGCCCCATTTCCCAAGGTGCTAGCTCGGGCACCTTTTTGTTGAGTCACACCCAAATTGGTTGGCCACCCGAGGTTTTTTCACGCCAAAGGGTTGTTGAAACGTCGACATGTTCAAAGGCTTTGCAAGCGCTCCAGCCGCCCGCCAGCGTCATCGTCTATGATCCCTGCCTGCCAGTGGCTATGGTGGCGGCACGGTATTTGCAGATCCCCTCAGTCAGCACGGTCACCGTCACAGGCCGTGGGGCTTTTCCGGGGAAGTTCAGTGGCAAAGTGGGAAGTTTCGCAAAGGCGCAGCACGGAACACAAGCAAGATCAAGCAAGCATGTTGTATTGGTATTCATATTGGTATCCAAGTTGAGCAATTTGATTACTATTCAGAATCGGTATCCAGATTGGTTCTTAACCAATTGACCGGCACTTGACGGGTCTCCGTCGTGTTGTCTCAGTTGTTCAGTGGCACCCTTTTTCCTTTTCTTTTTGGTGGCTGCCCCACCAAAAAAAGACTTCCCCAAAAAGGGTTCCCCTTTTTTCCCTGAACAACTGAGTTGTTGTTTCTGCTGACACGGGCTCCTGCCATTGGAGGCCCCGGGGTGATCGAGATGCCGCAGGCGTGGGAGACCACCGCCACGGTGAAAAAGGCGAGCGATGAGATCAAGGCGAAGTACGGCATCGACGTCTTTGGCATAGGGGCGATGATGGAGTTCTACTCCCAGGAGATCTTTTTCAGCACATCTTGACGGGTTGGATCTTTAGACTTTAACTTGTTTGGAAGTGAAGGGGGTTTCCAGAACCCACAAAAAGTTAAACTTTGTGCAGAGGGGCCAACAGAACAAAGACATGAGACGCTCATTTAGAGTCTTCGTCCTGGCACTTAAAGCCTCACCTTTTGCCCGGGCTTGATTTAGGTACCCTCCCACCAACCAATATGGAAGTGCACAAACACATGCACACACGCCCTTTCCAAGCGGAACGTAGTTTCCCTACACAAAATCTGTGCAGTTCCATGTTCGTGGGTGGGAGGGTATGTCAAAATTACAACCACTCCCAAGAGATCTGACTGCTTCCCCCAAAGTTGGGTCTGGGAGGCGTTCTGGGGGGTCTCGGGAAATATGTCACACTTAGGGCCGTTTTCTGTTTCAAGCCGCCAATCCCAAACCACGAAGGGGTACCTGAATCTGTGTGTGTGTTTTCATTCAATGTCCTCTTGGGGGATGCTTCGCAAGAGGGAAGAATTGAGATTTCCCAGGTGAGCAGTGGCTCCCTCGTTCTTTTTCTGAGAGGGATGTCCCAATGGGCTTGTGGCCGGCGTCCGAATCTCTGAGTTTTGACACAAATCCCCAAATCTTGGATCCGCTCTGTTGGAATCCTTTTTGGCTTATGGGACTGAAAAAGGTTAGAGTGAGTGTCATGAAACTGTTTCTCTTTCAAGACGCGCTGACTTGGACAATGGCAAGCTTCATGTGCGGCTCAAGAGAAGTTTCCAGAGGCCGAACAACATTTTGCTATTTTTTTTCAGGGAAGGAAGGAATGGGCCCCAGCAAGTGCCAGCACCCTGCGACTGCGTTGCCAAGTAGTCGTTGGGACTCGGCTGCTGGCGATGGTGATATAGCATCTACACAGTTTTACATTCATGAAAAGAAAAACTGAAAACAAGTACTGTAGTGGTACCAGTTGGCTTTTTGTAAAAACAAAGAGAACTGCGGGATATGGGTAGGGGTCAATTCTAAACTTAGTCCTTGTTTCCATTTACCAGGGTTCCATTTTGGGCCCCATGTTTGACCCACAGCCATATACAGAGCTACAGAAAGTGCCAGGACCTAAACCTGGTGACCACTGTGGACTCCTTGTTCTGCGCTCCAAGATCTCCGGTGCAGCTGCAGCGCTTCGCGCACGTGCCCTTCACCTGCGTGGGGCCGCTGGTGAACCAAAAGTCCCAGCGCATCAGCAATGAAAATATCAAGGCCCTTGCGCGAACCTGGGCTTTCGTCTCACTTGAGGGACTTGGACCATATTTTAGTGGTAAACTCCTTGCCTGAGTTGAGGCTTGCTTGTGACAGTCTACCCAGGGAGTGAGCAAAGAGGACCTTGAGGATCTGGTAAGTTCTTATGAGCTCATCGAAACGGGCTCACGGGCATCCCGTTCCAGCTTGTGGTTGTAATGTGCAAAGAAATGATGAAGGTGCCTTTCGTAGTGGCAGCTTTTGGCAGAAAAGCGGCTGCAAAACAGCATCCAGGATGACCAAAGCTTGATAGGACAGCGCTTGCACAGGGCAACTGAGCCGTTTCTGGAACCTCCAGTGGATCAGTTTCAATGGCCGACACCAGTAAACCCCTCATCTTCAATTTTGAAGCTAACCTCTAATTTTGGGCAAAACATGTGTTTAACAACTACTACACTGACCCTACTGCAGAATGGTTCTTTCGACCCCGGCGCGCGTTTTTTTTTGGGGGGGGGGTCGTGGGGACGTCGAAAAAAAGACGC